GGAAGACGACGGCGCTTGCGTGGGATGAGAACGCAAAAGAATATGATGATGGGGATGATAAAGAGGAGGAGAAGAGGAAGAGAGGAGGAAAAAGAGAAGAAGAAGAAGAAGACGAAAGAAGACGAAAATAATAATTAATAATAATAATAATAATAATAATAAGAAGAGAAGGAGGGGAAGAAGAGAGGAGGAGGAAGAAGAAGAGGACGAGGAGGAGGAGAGGAGGAGGAGGGAGGAGGAGGAGGAGGAGGAGGAGAGGAAGGAGGAGGAGAGGAGGAGGAGGAGGAAGAGGCAGGAGAGGAGGAGGAGAAGGAGGAAGAGGAAGAAAAGGAGGAAAAAGGAGAAGAAGACGAAGAAGAAGAAGAAGAGAAGGAGGGGGAGGATGATGATGAGATGAGGAGGAAGGAAAGAAGAGGAGGAAAGGAGAAGAAGAAGAAGGAGGAAGAGGAAGGAGGGAGGAGGAGGAATAATAATAATATAATAATAAAATAAGAGGAAGAGCAAGAAAAAAGAGGAGGAGGAGGAGGAGGAAGTGGAAGAAGAAAAAGAAGAAACAAAACAAACAAGAAAAAGTAACAGGAAAAATAAGAGAGAAAAGGAAGAAAAAGAAAAAGAAAAAACAAAAAACTAAAGTAAAACAACGAGAAAATGACAAAAACAAATATAACACAAAATCACACATACACACAAACAAAAAGAAGAATTACACACACACACACACACACACAAACAAAAAGAAGAATTACACACACACACACACACACACACACACAAAAAGAAGAATTACACACACCACACCACACACACACACACACACACAAACAAAAAGAAGAATTATTACACACACAACACACACACACACACAACAAAAAGAAAAATTAACACACCACACACCACACAACAACACACACAACACAACAAAAAGAAGAATCACACACACACACACACACACAAACAATAGAGAAGAATTAATACATTAAAAAAATAAAAAACTTTGAGAAAAGAGAAGAAAAAAATCAAAGCAGTTTAACAAGTATTTACACGAACGGAGAAGAAGAGCCGGTATTGCAACACAGGATATTGCAAGGTAATAGTGAACATCTGACACGAAATTAACATGCGATTTAAAAATGATTTGAATCTGGAGAGGAAGAAGAAGGAGTAAAAGAAGAAGACGAAGAAGAAGAAGATGAAGGAGAGGAAAAGAAGACGAAGAAAGAGAAAAAAAAAAGAAAAAGAAAAAAAGAAGAAGAAAAAAGAAAAGAAAAAAGAAGTAAAATGGAAAAGAGAGAGAAAAGGAATGAAATACAAATCAAAATGATGAAAAAAGAAAAGAAAAAGAAAATACAAGAAAGAATAAAAAAGAAAAAAGAGGACAAAAGGAAAAAGAAAGAATTGCTTAATATAAATAGAAGGAAGCAAAATGAAAGAAAAGAAAGGAAAAGAGATAGAGAAAAAAGTAAATAGAAAATAAGAAAAGAAGAAAAAAGAAAAAAAAAATCAAATAAAGAAAAGAAAATATATATATTATAATTATAATATATATATATATATATAATATAATATATATATATTAATATATATATTATATATAGAGAGAGAGAGAGAGAGAGAGAGAGAGGATGAGAGAGAGAGATAGACGGAGGAGAGAGCAGAGAGAGAGGAGAGAAGACAGAGAGAGAGAAAGAAAGAGAAAGAGAGAGGAAAGAAAGAAAGAAAGCAGAGAAAGAAACAACAGAGAGAAAAGACAGGACAGACAGACAAGACAGACAGAACAGAACAGACAAACAGAAGACAACAGAAAGATGAGAGAAACACATTGCAAGATCGGTCGTACCCGCCAAGGCCTAAAGCAACCATCTGCACCCGCTTCGTTGAACCCAGGCATGGAAAAATTGTTGAACTGAATCAATTATATGCGCATTATTTGCCCGTTAGCAAATACAGCGAGAGGAAAAAAAAGTATTATAATGAGAGGAAAATTATCTTGATGAAAAAAAAAATAGGATGAGAAAGTTATATAATGAGGGAATATATTTTATTATTACGAGAATATGGAATGAATTTAAATTATTATTAATGGAAAAAAAGTAGTATGGATGAGAAAAAAAATGTCATACGATGAAGAATATGTTAAGATGAATAAAGTAATATAATGAGAAGAAAATATTATGATGAGGAACAAAGTATATAAAAATAGAAAAAGTATATTGATGAAAATATAAGAATTAAAGATATAAGTGAAAAAAAGGTTTTATGATGAGAGAATTGTACTATATATGAAAAGTTATTATAATGATAAAAGGAAATGAAAAGGTAATATAATGGAAAAAAAGGATATTAATTCCCAGAAAAAGGTGCCCATTTGATGAAAAAAATATTGTTAGGCTGAATAAAGTATATTACGATGTAAAAAAAGTGTTTTGTTAAATTTTTGGAAAAAGTATATAAAAATATAATAAAAAAGCATATAAGGAGAAAAGTATATTATAAAAACGTATAAATGATTGAAAAATAATTAATGAAGGTAAAGGGTAATTGCCCAGAATGATGATGGGGAGAATTATCATAATAAAAGAGATTTTTGCTTAGGGTTGATGAGTTAAGATGGAAAAAAGTTGAGCGAAAAAAACTGATGATTGATGGTTGAGGAGATATGCATGATCATGATACATGATCATAATGATTGATTAAATGATAATGATATTATCAATAAATAACAATGATAATAATGATCACAATAATATGATAATGGTTGATACTGATGATGATGCGATGGTGATGATGATTCATGATAATTGATAACGATATGATGATAGTCTGTTGAAAAATGATAAAAAGTGGCATGAACTGATTACCAACCTACTTCAGTGCAATTATTGCCTCCAACAGAAAACAAGGTAAATCATAACAATAATGCCAATAAAGATGACAATAGAGTTAGGATAGGATTCGCAAAAATGGCGCGCGCCTACGAGTGTGTGTGTATGCCATTCTTCAACCTCAGTATTTGTCTGTATATTTCGTCATTTCCACCAAATGAATTGACTTCAACACCGCAGTCACGTGGAATATAACTCGTGGTATACAGAGGTCACTTTGTTTCAAAATTTAGAAACAAAGTCCGCAGTCACATGGAATATAATCTCAGCGGAAAGGCCTGGTTAATCCCGAACTAAAGTATATTATAATTCAAAAAATCATAGTAATAATGGTATTGGTGATGATGATGAATGATAATACAGGAAGAACGATAATTATTATGATAAAGACAACGCAGAATGATAATAACGAAAGCAATGACATTAAAAAGGAAAATAACGAAGTATTACAAATGAAAGATAAGAAAAAACATATCACAACGCATTTTATCCCTGAGACAATACAGACCGACACAAAAAATATTCCCAGAACCAACACTCGGATTCCAATGGCTGTGTGTCCATAATAATCTTCTTTCTCGAACTGTATAATTTTCTTGGAAAGAAGCTCGGAATTTGGCGAAGTGATGAAGCAGCAAATTTGATCCTTGAAACTGTTTAAAATTGAAGGGAAAAGAGCACTTCAAAGTATATAAGAATGCAAAAATAGAGTGAATAGAAGAATAAATTGCGAAAGAATGATGATCTTGAGGAAAAGCATGACAGATAAATCGTATCTACTCTGTGTGATGAAAGCTATACCAGGACATGTAAAAAAAAAAAAAAAAAAAAAAAAAAAAAAAAAAAAAAAAAAATATATATTATATATATATATATATATATATAATATAATTATTATTTATATATATATATATAAAGTAAAAAAAAAGTAAGAAAAAGAAGTATCAGGGTAAGATACGTCTTGTACAGATAAAGTCAAAGTTATAGTCGATATAATAAGAGAAAATAGGTAATAAGTAGATAGATAGATAAGCAGACAAATAGAGATAGGGTTAACAGAAAGACAGACAGATGAGAGATAGATAAATAGATAAGAGAGAAGACGAGTAGAGTAAAGTAGTAAGATAGTGAATATGATATAGGTGCAGAGAACTAACAGAGAGAAAGAGAAAAGGAATAATAACCAAATGCGTCAGACAGATCAAAAAGAAAAACACAATAAGAGAGAAGAGAGAGAGAGAGCCGAGGAGAGAGAGAAGAAGAGACGAGATGAGAGAGAGAAGAGGAGAGAGAGAGAGAAGAGAAGAGGAGGGTAAAGAGAGGAGGAGAAGAAAAAGAAGAAGAAGAAAAAATAGAAAAAAAAAGAACGGAATCAAAAGAAGAAAAACAAGAAGATGAAGAGGAGAAGAGGAGGAGGAGGAGCAGGAGAGGAAGAATGATGGCCTCTCACGAAGTCCAAACACAGCCGATGGAACAAAGGCCAGAGACGTGTGTGTGTTCGCGAGAGTAAACTGTGTCTGTGGCCAGCGTGCTAAGACTGCCCATCCCCCCCCCGCCCCACCCCCCCTATCCCCCTACCTCCTCTTCTGTCTACTGTACGAACTGTCCGGAGGTAAGGAGGCTGTAAGCGAATAGAGGAGAGAAGAGAGGAAAGTGGATAGAAACTGTGAATAGACGTTGATTAAAACAGGTGTGGGGGAGGTGGAGGAAATCGTGGGTTTAATGGAGACAAATTGGTTAATCTTCGTGTAATTGTAATAACTAGAAGATTTTCATGTACTCTGGGTATTCAGTGTTACATATAAGACTATCAAGAGTGTTGATCTAGAGACATTAATCTTAATATGAACGTACTCCAATAGGGCTTCCTGTCAACTAAGTCTTTTGGCGCATTTTCTTCTGCGAAAATCAAGAACACGTTTTAGCCTTATTATCCTCAAAGAACAAACGAGGAAATCACTTAGTAGCGGTTTTGGGGGAAACCTCAAGATGAGTCATACAATTGCGGGTTTCTTTGGGATCATAAAGCAATTACTCTTCTTTTTCATTTCATGGACGTCGATGACCTGGAATGATGGTCGTTTAAATATTTTGTTTCCGCTTTGAAGGTTTAAGCCA